TACATTGGAGAGATGGTCCCTCTTAACTTGCTCCTGTGAGATAAGCTAACTAAATTGATAGATCAAAATATCGATATTGTTAGAAAATGTAGGACAGGAACTGTTAATTGGAAACTGATGACTGTCTTTCGTCGTAGAAGCTAAAATAATGCCTTTAATTTTATACATAGTCCACAAAGTATATCCGGGCCAACGTACTAACATATGATAAATGCTCAAAACTTTCGATCTAAAAAAACCAAACTGTGCATGTAACCAGTATCCATTTTATTTCCCTCAAAAGCGACTGATTAATTCCAGTCTATTTTATTTTTCAAATTTCGAAATATATCCTTAATAATTGACATTGGACAAGCAAACGTTTTTCTACAAAAAAAGGAACTTAACTCGAGAGTAGTGCACATGGGACTATATTATGAACGACTCGCTTTGGGTGAACTAACAGTGCAAAATAAGACTTCCAATATTGGAAGCAGACACGATCGACCATTAACGAATACCATTATAATCTAAGGAAGACGTTCACGTTTCTTTGGTTAAGCTCGTTTGGAAGTCAATCTGTCCTAAAGTAGTAACTCTATGGAACTCTCTCGGCGTGCAACAAAATAAGAGCTATTTCCAGGAATACTCGAAAGAGTCATTTGGACACCTTAATATCTTTCGACGCCACTGGCGTCTATGGCGAACGCCGCAGGCGGAAGCTTATACGGGGAGGGGAGGAAGGCCATGCCTCCACGTTTCCGATTTTATCCTCTCAAACGCCACATAAATCCAGCATTTCCGACACATTTATGAAAAGTGTTTGTGAAGGCGTGATATAAAATCTGGGGGTTACCTCACTTCTCGACCAGGAAAACAAAAATAACTAGGGGGTCGCGAAATGTATAGTATATATTATATAGTATATAATATTTACCTGACATGTCAATCCGCCAAGTTAGTGGAAGTGAAACAACGACGTACCAAACAATTTTATCTATTATTGTTCTGAAGAGTTGAGAGGGGTTGGGGTTACAAGCCTCTTAACCTCTCCCCTAGATCTGCCCCTGATTTCCAACACAAAATGTTTTAAAAAGGCAATATAAAAGCCATAACATTAGAACTAACTCCTTGTAAAAAGTTTTCGAAAATTAACTAAGTTTGTTGTTGTTGTTTGTTAAATAAGTAGCTTTTTGCTTCTCTAAAACAGCAATCCTGGAATTTTTCTCTTGCACATGTTGGCCTTCATTACCAAAAGCGGACATTACTCAAATGTGATTCATACATTGAAAATTTTATTATCCAGCAATCGATACAATTCGGGATGAACTGATTCGCTTCTAGCTAATCAAACAGCGAGTATTTGCTGTAGCAGTACTATTAGGTAGTCAGAAATTTCAATTAATTTAGAATGGTTATTAGTTAGGGATTGTATTTTTGCTATTACATACATGAATACGTATCCTCCGCTGTAGTTGTATTCCTCTTTCAATAAGTCCTATCACAAACTGGTATTCTTGTACAACTGACGATGGATGATGTTTCATCTGACACGTGTATTTAAATATAAGATATGGACTTAAAATGCATCTTGGGGCCTGTGAAAGAATTATCGCATTTTGTACTGATAGATTAATATTATCATGTTGAGGTTTCTTTTTTTCCTTTTCCTTTTTGTTTTGTTTTGTTTTTTTTTTGTATTTCAGAGTTTGAGAACGACTCGACGAGATATGAGCGAAGTCCAGGTTTGAAAATAAAACTTATTTATGCCAATGCACTCTCAGTGTATATTTACTAGAACTTGCTTTGAAATTGTCGTATAGTTGCACGCCCATTGGCCAATAGCTATGATGATTATTGCTAAAACAAGATGGATTAGCTTTGTTGAATTCCCTCCGTTAGGTTGCAGTGATCAGTGGGACTACTCAACTTGCACGAATTACTACAATCAAAGGTTATGTGGCTACGGTTTCATCAGTTCAATGTGCCGACGTACATGTGGGTCATGTTAGTTTGAGGTAAACATAAGCGACGAAATAATATGTAGTTGTAATTTTCGAAGACATCTTTCTCCCACCAGGTCTGTGCATGTTCAGATCATTGTAGTGTATTTTTTTCTGTTTGTTTATTTGTTTCTTTCTTTGTTTTTTGGGTTAATAAAAACCTCTGTAAAACCGTGCACCCTTTTTGCCCTGTTTACCGGGTAGATTTACTTTATCCAGAACAAAAAATATGAAAATACACAAGACCACAGTTATATAAAATGATTCCAAATTTATAAACTGGCTTGTCGATATATGTGCATTGGGGGTAATTTATCATTACATTTTATTAACTTTTTATTGACTTATTTTGCAGAACAATCTTGTACATCGTAACAGTGCTTATAACTCATGGACTGCGTTTGTGTTAGTTCGCTTGAAACCTGACATAATTGATGTTTTGTCGTGAAAAGTGCATAGAGAAAATAAATGGAGCGCAAATTAATGAACATGATTGAGACTCTTTGTTTCCCCCTATCTCAGCGTTTTTTTTTCTCTGTCTTTTATAAATCATAAATATTTTAAAAGCGTTAATGCCATGTAAGTTTCGTCCGACTTTTTAGCGCCATGTTTTTCCACATTAAGGTAAAAATATTTGTACTCATTTGCTGTCTAATGAGAATGTAGACCCTTAAGGGCCCATTAACCGATTTTTGCGCGCGCTCTCGTGCGTTGCTAAGGAGGTAAAATTTCACTTCCGGTTACTTACGTCAGCCTGAGCGCTGAAAATAAAAACAATTCAATAACTTCCAAATTCGCTTACTTTTTAAATGCTTCTCTTTGTGTTTCACAAAATGCAAAGTAAAAAAAGTACAATCAAAGACAAAATAAGAGAAAGACAGAAATACAAGAGCAATGGAAAGAGCAAAAACTAACTCCGTGTAGCTTTGTTTGATCTTACCGAAGAGCACTGGCAGTATAGATTGCGCACGCGCTGATAGGATGACTTCCAATTTTATCGGGCGCACTTACAGTTTCTTTGAACGCTAAAGGAAACGCGGTT